TTTTTTTCAGTGTGTGAATATTCATGTGCCACACGTCATAAAAATACAGTTACTCCCCTAACAAGAATGTTAACGAAATCGACAAGCGAACTTCATCTCTCCTCACTGATCTTCTTATTCCACAAATAGGACAAGATAGTCGCAAAGTTACGAAACCACTAAAAGGATAATAAGCAAAAACCAGCTCACCGTTCTTCTTAAAACTTTCTGAAACAGCCAACACAGCGTTGGGCTCAGTTTGCCCCGTATCTTTGGCAGTCACTTAATACTTTCCAACTTGATTCCGCGGCTGCAATTTCGTCATTTATCAACATTATGCACTTCGTCTCTCCTCAAGGCGGTACGGGATATCGATAACATTGCGGCATGACCGAGCGAAGCATTCGGCTTAAAGGGGAATAACATGTTGATGAGAAAACAGATGAAACATGGAGTCGCGAAGCGGAGCAAAGGGCGAGCCAGCGAGCGAAATGAGTAGGGACGGTGTAAATCGCGGGTAAACACGTTTCCTCACATCGCTCGCGCTGTTCGAGCTCTGCGAGGTGAACGTGTGCACAAAACTGAACAGAGCGTGTGGTTGTGTGAGGAGAGATGGTTCGACTATTTCAATAGCTCGTGCGCGCGAAAAGAGTCGTTTCTGTGAAACACCACCCCCCCGTATGAATGCCTCCTTTCATATTTCGCATTTTTTGCCTCCCCCAAGCCTATTCACCAGCGCTTTTTTGACTCACGTTTGCTGAATTAGCCGAGCTGCTGCGAGCTCGTTATTTGAGCTAATAAGTACGGCATCTCTTTCTACTATGCAAGAGTCCGTCATTAGTGAAGCAGCGTAAACACCAATCATTGTTTAAAAAAACTTCAGAAGATTACTTGACCGTGTCTGGCAAATTTTTATGTTTAAAACTCGCGACGCGTTTCGACCATGGTTTGTGGTCCTCTTCACGTGATAATTGTGTCAGTAAATCCGTATGGCAAATCAAAAGAACTGATCGTAACGTCACGAACGACAGAACATGACTGTTTGCCAGACATGGTTAAGTAATCTTCTGAAGTTTTTAATTACTTCTGGCAACTTATTTCCTCCAGTCATTGTTTAAAAAAGTTCTATTTTTTTATGTAGAAAAATATATGTGCATCTCGTAAAATAGCGTAAAATATCGAAAACTTTAGACTGTCGCTTCTTAATCTTCATATAACAAATTAGGGAGAAACGTGAAGAATTGAAAAGAATTTTCTTGACAAAAGTATGAAAATTGACGACCACTTTTGATACTCTTGTTAAGGAAACATTTCTTTCTAATTCTTTATGTGAAGATTGTTTGAATAAATACAGTTTTATTTAATTTAATTTAAAATTCCATTAAATCAGTCTAGAATTATCAGAACTATATGGTTCTGTCAACTACTTAATATTCGTATTAAGTTTAATTAGACTCTTTCGTTTCAATTACTTTATGCAAGACTACCGGCAATTTCCTCTAGACTTAGCCACGTGAGAGAAACTAGATTTAAACTCGTGACGTATACGACGTACGAGAATGCACCGCGAAAATGGTTTGAATGGATAAAATTGGTATGTTCAATCAATGGTGAAATATGAGAGCGGCCCACGCGGGTGGCTGGACGTACGACAGCATGAGAGATCGTTTATCCGAGCGGAAGCGCACGCCGGGCTCCTCGCGAGGTGGTGGCACCGGCGATACGAGCAACGTCAGTTGACAATATGCAGAGCGCAAGGAGGAGCGTGGGCCGACACGCGAAGGTCGCGATGCCCGAAAATCCATAACCATTCCTATTACGGGGTTGCGCTTGCGCGAGAACCGCTCTTCTCGGTCCTGAAGACGCACAGGCTAATAGCCCGTCCGCGTCGCGCCGCATTTTCGAGCGACTAGAAAGCGTATCTGCGCGATATGCGGAAATACGATAGACTTGGGCAATTAATCGGAACTTAAAGACGCAAAAATTAATAAGCAAACAACATGTAGGTGCAATTTCAAAAGAAACGAACAATCGGTGATTGAAAAGTTTTCCAATAAAATGTAAAATCAACAGAGATGATTGTGGCATTGACATTATTCAGCGAAATACTTTTCGTTATATAATTTGGTAATGATATAAGATAAAATCTTGGATTGAAATTATTAAAATTACAATTTAAATTGTTGTATTATTATCGGAGAATCTCATGTTAAAAACCGAGTGAACAAAAGATAATTATAAAAATAAATAAGCGTAATCCTTGTAATACACAAATGTAATTATCTGATCCTTTAGTAACCTTTGATAATCTTTGTTATAAAATATTCTTCTTCATAAAGTTCTTAATATTTGACAAAAGATAACATCAAGTCTGTGCGACTTTCGAGTGCGAATGTTCCTTGTGAAATGTAAGATCAATAAAAGTAATTATGATATGCAATAATTAAATTTTCTGAAAGCTATTTTCTAATGACAAAATAATTTATTAAATCAATCGTAATCTCGAGTCTTAATCTAACTATTGAAGAATGTCCCAACGTTACAGTTATTCTCATTTGATTTCTAACAATGTTCCGACACCTACGGGTTTAATATAATAATTAATCAGTAAAATGCATTTGAAAAAGTTGTAATGGAATTTCTTATCGACGTAGAGAGTGCGATATCGACGTGGAAAAATAAACGTCGCAGTCGTTGATTCGATCAACGCTATAGTGTTACCTAATTAGGAACGACCGCGTGTGACAAAGGCGAAGCTCCACTCGACACAGTCTAAAAAAAAGCGAAAAGTGGAATATAAAAGAGAAATAGGTAATCCAATTAAATGAGGAACACATTGTTTTACGGAACTTCGAGTCGCTTTTTATCCGCGTGCGCTTGATTAGTTCTATTAATTAAGGAACGAACTGAGATGCTTCGATCTCGCGAAACACGGTTTCGTTAATTAATTAGTCCAAGGTATAAAATTGATCCGTTATAAAAGTTTCACAGTCGCGACTGTTGGGCATTGGAAGAGATATTTTAATAAAATAGCGTGGAAAATGCTATGTTGCGAAAAACCGAACATAAAATAATTGTTAGCTACGTCAATATGTATAGCTTACGTTCAGTATTGAGTATCTGGGAAACAATGGGTTATCAAATGAACAAGTCAGAAATAAACAGAAGTTAAAGTCAGGAAAAAATTTAAAACACGAGTATTTGGTGTTCACAAAATTGTTATTTATAACCAAAATTGAGAACTAAGAAAGAAATTAAAGTTGCAGAATCGAGGAAATTTTAGTGAAACGCCGACTTGGTAAGCAACGATCGATTTCAACTTCTCCAGGGTTCTCTGTCCCCGGCAAGTTTGCGCTCGCGCCACAACGATCAATGACGTCAAGATGCATGTACCGTTGTTCATTAGTGGGGGATGCAAGCGCAAGACTTTAATTGCGGGCTCGACGAGCACGTCCGAAGTGTCACCGCGAGATCTTTCACTTTTAATAATCCCTGTCAGTCGACAATTAATTACTTGCAAAATGATAACGTCGCGTCGCCGAACATTATCCACAGCTTCGATAATAATTTACTCAGGAATGACCTTTACATTGATTGACAACCGAGTTGACAGCCCTTAACGAAGATACGGATTTTCGAGCTTATAAAGCTTTTAATCATCTGCCTGTCCATAAAAGTGTGTTATATTTACAAGCAAACTTTCGTACGTTTATCTCTAAACTAGATTTATTGTATTTATTCATTTTATTGTCGCAAATCGTTATTCGCTATTTAAGCTAGAGAACAATCATTTCTCTAAAAAATACCTAATTGTGTAATTACTTTGATACAATCGCCGATAACGTACTTCCAAGCGTGGCAAAGACGAAAATAAAGACTCACCGAATCAGAACGCCACGTAGGATCCCATGTTTCTCGCCGTTGATTCCTGCAACAGAGATTCGGACATCAGTCAGTGGAATTAACGAGACACTCGAGGCAAACAAATGCCAAAATCAAATAATTACAACAGGCCTGAGGGGAAACGATGAGAATCCGCTCCTTTGTCTTCCGACGGAGGTTCGCGATCAAACGAGAGAACGAGGAAAGGCACTAATGAGAATCGTTCGAGGACAACGCAAGCCTTTAGCAGGGCTGAATTTACTTCCTTTAGCGCATTAAACAAACGTGTTAAAATACTCTACGCAAAGTGCATACGCGCAAACATTTTTAATTGTCAGAAATATCTTACAAAATCATAATATATCCGTTAATTTCTGTATTTAAAGTTAGGAATTTTGCCACGTAAGATAGAATGTAAAAGATGTTTTTTACTTATTCTCAGCTATTATTTAAATTTGTTAGAACAGCTGTGTTTAACTATTGCTAAATTCCGCACTTCTCGTCATTTTGCGTAAAATAAAAGCTACCCGAAAAACTCATAATTATTTCCTGGGGGATTTTCCTTAAAAATCGCGAAAAAAAGCTAAACATTTCGATATACAAGTACGCTCTTTATTTAGCTCTCAATGTAATCGGTTTTCATTTCGTCCCTATTTAATAAAAATATAATTTTCAATTTGAAATCAAATTGAGATCCGAGCTGTGATGAAGTCCGACCCTGTCGCGTTTCACTCTGTCTGACTTTGGCAAATCCGCGGGGACGCGGTTATTTCCGCGGGCGCGGTTTCCTCCCCGCGTTTCCGATTCCACGAATGAACGAATGACTCCATCGGGAGAAGCGGAGTGGCCCCGAAGAGCCCTTCTTCGCTCTATGGCCGTCCGTGGCCCCCGCACGACGTCGCCGTTACGATGCATCGTCTAATTGAAAACGACGTCCCGAGATGCGTAGGAACGAGGGTGAAGGCGCGAACGCGCGAGGAATGTCGAGGTCCTTGCTGAAAGGACGAGGGACTCCGAATAAAAAGGGCGTATGTTTCGGTGGGGCGGCATATCGAGCAAATTGAGTTCGACGCTCGTTCTCCCGTTTCCCCCACGTATCACCGCTTCCTCTTGTTTGATATTTGATCAATTATGAAAATTGAACGTACACACTCTGTCGAACGTTTTCAGCGATCTGAGGAAAGTTGCCATCGCTAGATTAACGAAATAGGAGAGGCTCATTTTCTCACCGGCCATGATTGACGAACGGTAGTCACTGATGGCAACGTTCTCGTTTAATTTCAAAAGGGCCTCTCATTAAAAAATAATATAAAGGTAACTTTTTCCTCCTTGTTACAATTCTAAAAGAGATTGGACAGAAAGTGCACTTCAATTTCTCAAACGAGCGTATTATCTTTCTACTCTATTTTTCCTATTTTTTTATATAATTACCTGCAATAAAAGTATTTAAAAAAGAAATACACACGCGGGCACGTGCTCCGTTTTACATGGTTCCACTATATATTTTATAATGTTATTACTTGAAAATCATATTTTTCCACAAAATTCCGTAACGTAAAATGTAAATTCGTTCCGCTATCAGTAGCCTCGGTCTGTAGCGAGTTTACGTAAATTGACCGTGCAGACGATAACGACGTTTCGATAAGACGGCGCAGCGGTAATTAACGGCAAGCTGCGGCGAGGACGTGATTCACACGCTCGCTAATTGCTATTACGGTCTTACGGCTGATAGAGATAACAGCTGCCGATCAACGGTTTCGAATTTAAATTTTTGCTACTAATTCCAATTGTACCTATACTGAATGTGGCTACGCTTAGAATGCGCAGTTACCCGTAAAAGTAACAAGTAGAATTTCAAACGCCTGCTGTGAATGCTGTTAATATTTGCGTGTGTACCCAACAAATTTCTCTGGCATACCTGAAGTTAAACAAGCTACGTACATTGCGTACCGCAAATTCACATATTTGTAATACGCACGCGCGCATAGTTCTAGAAGTAAGCGAGTCACGACTTTTTTTTCCATTCGAAACGTCACTCCCGAAACTGCGTAATTACGTGCGTTCGTTTTCGACGATTGTCGGCGACGCGCGTCGACAAATCGGCGCAATCTGCGGCTGCAACAAAACATGGACGCGAGAACCATTGTCCAATTTAACCGAGAGCTAGTACGAAAGGGGCTGCGGGAGAATCAGACGTCTACCCTTTCACAAGGGTCGGATACGCAACGTCGTAGCAATTATTTGGATTGGGGTGCGCCAAGTGCTCTCATGACAAGATGCAATTGCGAAGAGTATATAATTTACGAAATAACAATATTTGTATTTCAATTTGGCCGAGGCCGCGCAAGTTTGCTATTTTATTCCGACAATTCGTGAGCATTACCGTTCACTTCATCAGCACTAACAGAAAAAACTGGCTTGCTCTTACCACAATTTCACTATAATTTATAGTCATTTTAGGAGCCAACCACAATTTTATAATTCTTCCAACTACGTAAGTTACGGTTGACCTAACGATGTATTATAGTTCTTATAGACACGATATAGGTCCATGCAACTCATGATATAGTTGTCATAAACCAAAACAAGCTTTTGATCTGGTAAGGTGTACTATAAATATTGCAATAACCGCAAATAAAATTTCGAATAACTATATGGAAGAGTAATAATCGTATTTATATTGCAAGTAATATTCCCCGCTTTTAATTATATTGTGTACATTGCGTTCACTACACAGAGAGAAAAAAATAGTTGCAGTTACCACAATCTCACTATAATTTATAGTCATTTTTGGACCCAACCATATTTTTATAATTCTTCCAACTACGTAAGTTATGGTTGACCTAACAATGTATTATAGTTCTCATAGACACAATATTGGTCCATGCAACTTATGATATGGTTGTCATAAACTAAAACGAGCTTTTAATTTGGTAAGGTGCACTATGAATATTGCAATAACAACCACAAGTAAAATTTCGAATAACTATATGTAATAGTAATTTCATTATATTCATTGGTTACATCACTTTGCACTCATAAAGAATAGTACAAGATAGTATCTTTCAAAGAAAAGATAAGCAATCTTATACGAATGCGTAAACTTATCCGTATTTATAACACCCTAAGCGGTTTTTTACTTACGAGAGAGTCTTGTACCGCGCGTCCCTCTAGTGAAGACATTCCGAACCACTTCACTTTTGTTTACTATGCGAATAGTAAAATGGATGATAGAAATGTAGTTAAATTTACTACACGGAGAGACCGATATGGTTACCACATGTCTAATTAGGGTTGGCACAACCCCAATAAATAATAATATTTGGAACAGCTATATCCGTAGTTGTCATACCCACATTGATGTAGTCATGGTACAAATTGTAGTTGCTTTCTTGCAGAAATGAACTATGGTGAAACTTTGTGTGGTACGGTTAATCAGGCTCAAAAACACTGCGTATTGATAGTATTAGCCTTCAAATGCGTATTGATAACATTAGCCTTACTGCGTGCCGAGTCGCGCTATACAAGTCGGTGCAAGTTGGTTAGGTTAGAGTGCATGACAATGTTACCAGCACTGGTGCGGTGGTGTGGCAACAACTCGCACTTCAGCAAAAACTACAAATATGGTTGTTACAACCACACACAACTCAACAATGGATAAGTAGTGTAGACAACTATATGCGTTTTGTGTAGCAAACTTAATAAACGTTGCAATACAAAACAATATAGATGTCCCTACTATTTTTACGGCAACATTTTAATTTTATAGTCATTTTTGGTTGCCACATTTAATGGGCTATTACTTGAAAAGGACTAGTATTACTAGTCGAAACGTAGTATTTTAAATAAATATATGGGCCAGTTATCGTCGACACCACCATCCTTTGTTATCTTTCGTCACCCACTGGCGATCCACCTTCTCCAAGTTTGGATTTTAATTTTAGTTATTTTTGCCTTAGCCGGTCTTTCCGTGTATTATTGTACTTGCACCTACTATATAAAACTAATTAATTTAGTTACTATTCACCATCTTAATATTTTACCAGAATAATGGTTGAAAGCTTCATAAATAATAGTAAAATTTTTATGCTGGTTGGCATCACTATGACTATGTGGTTGTTATTACTAATATTATAGTGATAATTACTATAAAAATGATATTCCTGACTATAATCATTTTACTATGCAATTATAGTCGCAAATACTACGTACCTTTCTCTCTGTGTATGTTCATTGGTTACGTCACTTTGCACTCATAAAGAATAGTACAAGAAAACATCTTTCAAAGAAAAGATAAGTAATCTTATACGAATGTATAAACTTATCCATATTTATAACACTCTATGCGGTTTTCTTCTTACGAGAAAGTCTTATACCGCCCGTTCCTCTAGTGAGGACATTCCGTACCACCAATCTGATATTTATACGTAATAGATGGGAAAGAAAGAGCTTTACAAGCGTAGAACGCTATAAGAATCTGCTCAACGACTTCGATCGAAATTATAATAATTAGTGGCACATTTGAGATTCGATTACTTGGTACCCGAGTACTTTTAAGAATTGAATGATTATTCGAGACTCGAGAACTGAAAACTGTAGAACCGTGCATAATATCGTGTATAATATGAATGTTCGTTTTTCTTCGTCAGTCGGAATGTCAGAGTAGTTCATCATGAAGAAGTATGAATGTTCCGAGTAGTTGCCGCTGTTGTAATCTTCGCATAGTGCCGTACTCGAGTTATGCACGTGCATGTGCAATTATCGGGACCTCTCATAACGTATGCGCTACATTTGTAGGAACTGGAGTTAGAACTGAAGTCACTTGAATTTGAGGAGTTAGCAGTCTAGGTATCGAAGTCAGTGACTGAAATCTCATTGTCAGTAGTTCTTGGTTCATCCGAGAGCCAAGTCCACGTTTGTTCTCGAGAGCATCGAGAACATTGAGGAATCAAATACTATCGATTCTTTGTACTCGAATACTCCCATCACTATAATAAATCTTTCCCTGATGAAACTGTTAAACCCGTGATTAGTAATAATTTGTTC